ACAGAACCAAAACATAACGTTAAATTTGATTTTAAAAAAATAGTTTTGTAACCAAAACGAAATCAAGTGATAGTTTTGTGACTAAATATGCTCAAAGGTTCATCATATGAACAGACACTTCCATCATCTGAAATTGTTGCCAAAAAAAGCCCGAGAATCACCAAACGTTGGGTAAAAATATAAGGTGACCCTGGCCAATATAAATGTCAAATTATTCTCATTAGCACTCATATAAATATGGCATTGCCATTATAACAAGTAAAAGCTTAAGTTACCTGTCTAACAACTGTTAAAGCTGTTGTTCGGCCGTGGAAGGAATCGATCTCCCAATAGTTTCTCGAGTTCTTGATCAACTAATTAAAGCGCAATTCTTCATATAATAATGCACATATGAAATCTCTGCTATTTTTTATTAGAGTCCAAATCGATACCGTCGTCAAGTGTTGCCCGAGCTAGAGTCCCTTGCCAATCACAGAAATTTCATTGACTAAGAAAATATCTGAATATATCTCAACTCAGTACAAGGACACATAAAACGCTAGTTAATCATTTTACTGATGTCGTGTGACACACACACATTATTAGTATTCTAGAGGAGTAGACTAGCCTGACAATGTGTCGATGTTATGTGACCAGAACCTGACCTGTGAAACTTGTAAGATGTTGATATTATGTGACTCAGATCTTACCCATAATACCTCTAGTAAGCAAATAGAGGTATGGATTCTATGATGCTATGTGACCTCAAACTACACCACGATGCTTACTTGTCGTTATGTGATTGTACATGGTGTCTTTGTGATATTGGGTATTATCATTGTGTGTTACATGATGATGCATTGTAATATGATACTAAGGCTAGAGACATAGTATACGTTTACTTATGATGAGGCCCTTAATAGAGACTAATGGAAGTATAAGACTAACACTATAGTGATAGAATTGCTCAACTTAAACTAGTTAGAACGAGATTATGATAATGCATATAACTATCGTTTATTGTCATTTCTTCTAGCATACTTATGTTTATTAGACTCATAACGTTGTTCTAAATTAACGATTATAATGTTGGGCTTGTAAACTCAACGTTCAGATGTTTTTGTTCGCATGTTAGTAGTTTAGTCGTTCGAGAAGCACCATCATAGTTAGATTTCCAGTATCTTCTCTAGAGTATTGTATTGGGTATGTGTATTCATAGGACTTTGTTTATGTTTTTGGATTATCAACTTTGAATTATATTATTTGATTTAAGTTATGTGTCACAGAGTTTTAATTTATAAAATATCTTTATAACTATCATGTATGTCTTTTAATATTATATAGTGTGTTTTAAATGGAAAACCCCGGTAGTTTAATGTAACACTTTAGATCCAATTATATTAGAGTATTATAATGATAGGGTTAGGATTCGATGGATGCTGGCGAAGAGGTTCTTGAGTAGCAACGGTAGAAGCCAAGAAGGTGGGATTGTGATGGTTGGTAACGAAGGGTGGTGGTGTGGTAAATGGGTGGCTCCCTTTTTTCGTTTCTCCTCGTCTTTTTTTCTCTTTGTTATTTACAGCAACATATATCGTGGAGATGATGAATAGAAGTCAAGAAGGTGATGAAGGATCTTCAGCTGAAGAACCAGTAGATTAGACGTTTGGTGCAGGCGGTGACAGGACAAGGCGAAGCGATAGTCTGAACATTGAAAGTCCCGAATGTTAAGGGATTTTTGTCCTTTAGATTAGACGTTTGTTTTTTTAATATATATTTTTAATGATTTTTTTTGTAAATAACGGATAAAATTGATGACTACGATAGTAAAAGCAAAAAGAAAACTAAATGAAAATAGTGTTGGATTCTCCTTAGCTAACATTCTTTTGAACTTGTTCTGTTGTTCTTGAATCAAAACTAGATCTTCAAATGAAAACAAAGAGAAAGAAAGAAACTAAGTATTGTACATGTATGTCCTTTATTATGTGCTTTATTTATTATTGTCCTTTAATTTCAGCATTAATTCAATTTAATCTCCTGTTTATGTTATGTACTAACTTTTTTTTTCTTAATTTGATTGGGGCATTTTATTTATTTTACAGATTAATTCTAACCCTAACTTCTGGATTTATTATTTTAATATTCTAATTTCTTGCACAATTCATTTTAATAACTATATTTTTGGTACACTATTATTTTATTATTTGGAAAATACTTTGTATAAATTTTTGCATTATTTTATCGAATGTTTGTAAAGAATGTTTTTATTGTGGGAACGGATTTTGAGAAAAACCTTATAAATCATTGAAGTGCAATTACATACGATCTTTCGAACGAATTGATATCTAGGCCTGTAAATGAACACGAACGATGTATGTTCTTGTTCATTCGTTTAACTTTAACCGAACAAATGAACGAACACGAACATAAACGAACAAAAAATTTCTTGTTTGTATTCGTTCGTTAAGGAATGTAGCTTCTTCGTGTTCGTTCATTTAAATGATAAACAAACATAAATGAACGAACATGAACGAATGGATGTAAACGAACATAAGTGAACAAAATAAATGAACGTAAACCAACACAAACGAACGAACGTAAATGAACACAATAAATGAACATAAACGAACGTAAACAAACATAAAACAAAAATGTATTTTTTTCTTTTCTAACAATTTTAGGATTATATTTTATTTAATTTTTTTGGGCTTTTTTATTTTTATTTAAAATTAATTGAATTTTAAAATATTTATGGGTATTAGATTAAAATTTATTGAGATTTAATATTTTAAATGGGTCTAGATATATTGGGCTAAACATAAATGAACGGACATAAACGAACATAAATGAACATAAATAAACGAACATATTATCGAACGTTCACGAATGTAAATGAATGAATGAGCCCTTTGTTCGTGTTCGTTCATTTCATTAAACGAACACAAAATCTTGTTCATGTTCGTTCGCTTAATAAATAAACAAACATAAACGAATTTCCCACCGAACGGTTCACGAAAGATTCGTTGAACGTTCAGTTTGTTTACAAGCATATTGATATCCAATTGTATTTTTAAAAATAAATCAAGATTAATAAAAGGAACATAGTTTAGATCCATGCTTGAACTTATTAATTCCACTATTAAGACAACCTATAATCGATTCTGGGTGTTGTGGGGTGTCCATCATTCTTCATGCGTAATTGATTCTCATATCCTTTCAAATGATTTTTCGTAAGACGTAGATCCACTTTTTCTTTTAATAGATATTTTAAAATACCTTTAGAGGCAAACAAATATTAAGTATCTAACTTTACTTAACCCAAAAGGTCGATTATAACTCCAAATCAGATTTTCACCAAGTCAAGTTTCATTCCAAACTTAAGGACTTTCCAATACTAAAAAAGTTAGATGATTTTTCGAAGAGTCCTTGTCCAATTAAAAGTTTACAAAGTAGGTGAGATTTCTACTTATAGTATGAAACCTATCATTATCGCATGGCTCGAGCGAATAACGGTAGAGCAACTAAAAAATTAAGTGACAAAAATGAAACCTTTTAAATTTAAGTGACCAAATCAAGACTATAATCAAATGTAAGTGGTGGAATTTGTAATATACCCAAACTTCATGATAAGGGCAGTGAATAATTCGTCGTCTTTATGGCTTATAAAATACCCATTGTTTTGTTTGTGTGTGTGGTTTACAGAAAACCTATAGTCCGGGTTTCAAAGGTGTGAACCCAACCCATCTTTTCCGTGGTTTACAGAAATCCGTTGATTGTGAAGTGTGGGAATCATCTCTGCTTTACAAAAAAAAAAAACTCATCATTCTCTTCTAGCTCTCAGTTTTGAGTTCAACAAGTATTGTTTACTAGGTCTTCTTCCGTGAAAAAGTACTTCTTTTCATCTTACAACCCTACCATCTTTTTTTTTTCTTCATCAAGAAACTGAATGTTTTGATCACAGTCTTAAGTATTCATCCGCTGCTAAATTTAGATAGTCAAGAAAATGTATGATGATCAATTTGAAGACTGAGCAAAAACACGAAAATTAACTTGGGATGTTTTTTTTCATTTTTGATGGGATGCTACAAATTTCAGTTTCCATTTTTCTTAAACATTTAGTCTTATGTTACTTGCCGTAAAAAAATGAAGATGAATCATTTAGCGCTACCTGTAAGCATTTTAGAAAGAAAAAAACATTACGTAGAACGCTTTCATTATCCATGTTTAATCTTTGAGAAGAATATTGGAAACCAAATGATTTTGATAAACAATTAGATGGCATATTCCTACAAGCTTTGGTCTAATGACTTGCGATTTACACATTGGTCCACCCGCAATCGCTCGATTTTGGCATATTAACCGGCGATTCACTGACTACGATAGACGTGATGTGTTTATCCATCGCAGAAAAAAAAAAAAAAAGGTAATGTGTTTTTTGTAATTGTTTTATTTCATGACATATGTTTTCTTTCACCAATTTATTCATACGAGTATCGATTGTTTAAGGTGATTCCTGCTGGATTATGTTGAAGCTTGAAGCCCCTGATATGCTGTACAATTGATTTGGCCAAGACTACAAACTGTACAATACAAATAGCAAGCATTGCAGTAACATCTTACAATTTATGTTTACCAAATTAGGGTGGTTAGGGAAAAGATATTTTTGAGAACATGGAATCAGCTTTATTCTTTTCATTTTAGTAAGTTAATATATCTGATTTATCGTTTCACCATTAAAATAATTTTCGGATAAGGATAAAAGAGAGACACCTCAAGCTCTGCTGGAGCTGACGAAACACCCACCGGTTTCCATTTAGCTTAGCCTGTTGGAATTGTGGTGGCAACTTACTAACAATTTTAACTAATAGTTTCAAATTATTAAAATTTTCATAAATAATTTAATATGAATAAATAAAATGAATTTTGACGTGAATAACTCTAAAATCCCCCGATAACTGATCTCATGTGACTGAGTTTGACGTGAACAAATGAAATGAAATAAATTTAGATGGAAATTGAGAAAAGAAAAACCAACGTTTAAGGTTTGTTTATGATATGCAGGGAGGTTGAGTTATAAATAGAGGATCCAACCCATGTTTGGTTCAACACTATTATTTGTCTCTGTAAAGCTCAATCGATTTAGACTCGAGTAGCTGCTGGTTTGGCTTTGCTTGCTTATCCAAGATGGTGGTACGAATTCTATTTCTAATTCTGTGGCTATTCCGTCTCTGAGTTTTGATTTCAAAATTTGATGTCTTCCTCTTTTTCGATTTTCCAAATGGTTTTTTTGAAAATCCCCACCGCTTCAATTCCACTCTGCTCCATATTTCACACCTGATTGTGTAAATCAGAAAGGCTTCAACTGCAGCTCATAATTGTTTCTCCTTTCCCTTTTCACCTACTAAAAGGAAAATAGATTTTGTTTGGAAGGGTGAAACAAGATTAGATTAGAATCATAAAAATTATTTTTTATAACTTATTTGGTAGAAATTAATTAAAATAAATGAATAATGCAATAGTATAAAATATCAATGTTTTTAAAATTGGACCGGACCTTGAACCGGTGAAGGTACTGTTCACTGGTTCAATCGTGGTTCAACCGGATTCAATCGGATTTTATATAAAATAATATATTTTTTTTAAATTTTACATAATATTCAAAGCAATATTAATATATATATATATAACATTTTTTTAAGTTTACAATATTAAAAGGTATAAAAATATCACAAGTCATAACATATATAAGTTAAAAAACATAAAATCAAGTGAAACAAAATGATTCAAATCAACTACAACATAATATTTAAGGTAAAACATATTAAATAATAAATATAACTATATAACTATAATCAAAAAAATAAATTTGGGGTTTAAAATATAAGAACAAAACAATACCACATTGCTAAGAAACATAGAAGAGCATCCAAACTGACTTCTATAAATACTAGAGGTAATTTGACTTTCAAAATCATGGAGCCTTTTGGTGAGCACAGAGTGAACTATTCTTTCGCTTCAATTGAGCTCGAATTTTAGGCTTCAATCGAGCTTCTAATTTTTTTTGAGTTTGAGCCTATTTGAGTTCAAGTTTTAATATTATATTTCGAGTTCGAGTTGAACTTGATAATTTTTAGCTTGTGAGTTTTTGAGTCGAGTTGAGCTTACTTTTAAAGTTTTCGAGTTCGAGTCGAGCTCAGCAGTACTTGAGTTCGACTCGGCTCGTTTAACAAATGACGTCGTTTGGTTTAATTTTTTTAAAAGAAAAAAAGAGAACCGGCGGTTCACACCGGTTTTACCGGTTTTCAGCTGGTTCACCCCGGTTTTGTCGGTTCTCAGCCGGTTCTTTACCGATTTTGTGCACAGTCGGTTTTGGAAGTTAACCGGATCGGACAGGCCACCGGTTCATGGTTCAATCGGTCGAACCGGCCGGTCCGGTTTTAATAACATTGTAAAATATACATTGAAGTCGTTATTGCTTTATTTAAAGTTTGTTCAATAATTAAATCAAAAGAGTGAGTGATATTAATTTTTAAGTACAATAATTAAATCTCGAATTTCATTTAAAATATTTTGACCTTTTAAATGTAATAGTATAACAAATATACAGTAAAGTCGTTATCGCTTTATTGAACGTTTGTTCATCCAAGTTGCTATCAATTTTGTTTATTTTAATTACTAGTATTTTCTATATTCAAAACAGGATCTTCTTAAAGCCATGAAAGCTGAATTGGAAATAGACATGGAAGCAAGGCTAGCATCTATGGAGAATTCACTCAAAGAGCTTAAGAAAATGATTTCAGACTGTAAAACAAAGGTAAAATTTGTTGATGACCTGGTGAACATGCTCATTAGAGCTGAGCTTGACAATGATCCGAGCATTGACGACGAAATCATGGCCTGGATGGTAGAGGAAGCTACGAGGGCCTTAACCGAAGCGATGAGAGGCTCGGCCTCGTCGGAGCTGCCCTGCCCCACTGCCGCCGGAAATGGTGGAGGGAAAGAGGGCAGTTCGAGCGATGGCGATTGATATCACAGTGGCTCTGCTTTGTTTTCTTGCATTTAATATTCTAATTTTGTCGTATAATAATGTTATCTAGAACCTTTAACTCTATGTGGTATGGTAGAGAAAGGAGTTAGTGTATGGGTGACTCGGTTGGTGAGTCTTACACAACATTCTATAATGTTACATTTTAAAATAAAATTATATTATTTGGATTCTCAACAGTTTATTCATTCTATATTTTTATAAGTTCAAATAATGTTATCTAAAGGTCTTGAGTTCTAATAGTTATGTTTGTAGGATGTATGTGCGTTGTTAATGAGATTAAAAAAGTTATGAACTCATATTATCTTTATCCCCTAGACTATTAAAAAAAAGAATGGTCATAATTGGTTGGATCAGGGTTTGTATTGGGTCTGAATTTTGTTTGGGTTGCTTGGTGGGCCCGATGGCCTTGTGTAATTTTCGATTGGGCCAGACTAAAAATAGTTTCTACATTAGTAGAACATTCTTTTAAAAAAAGGTTTAGAATTAAAGAAACAATTTAAAATTGAAGTTAAAATTTAGAGAGATCCAAACGTTGGGTACTAATTATTAATAATAGAAATTAGTTGTCACGTGAACCATTAAATTTCAAGGGGCACGATAGGGACAGGCGGAAGGGGTAAAACAAAACCTCTATAAATAGCCTACTACTACATTCATCTCCCCTAAATAATATTATAATAGTCTTCAACAAAGAAGTTCAGATTTGTGGAAAAGCAAACCAAAAAGAAAAGAAAAAAGGATGAGATTATGAGTTGTGAAAGGAGGAGTTTATGTTTTAGGGTTTGGAGAAAATCCTTTGTCCCAGTTTCAAATTTGTGAACACCACCTTCTTTTCCCATGATCTACACAAAGCTTTCAGTTATGTAGCTTCCAGCCGCGAGAAGCAAGTATTTAGATTGTGATTTGTGTAACCCCTCATACCGATTTGGGTGGCTCGATCTGATTTGGGGTGTCACATTAGGGCCACCGGAGCGAACCACCATAAAAATCCCGAAAAAATTAAATTTTTTGTTAAAACATGTAAAATCATAAAAAAAATTATAAATACAAAAGTAAAATTTACCAATATTCAGAAATAAAACAGATTCATACTCGTATATAAAATAAAATACAATCTTCATGCCCCTAATCACTTGCACAATACTCTGCAAGCAACATTGGTGGAACTCCTTTACTGATGTCGAAAGCTGAACTGGTTTGATCATTTTAACCTGAAATGGTGAGTAAAAAAGTGAGTTTTGGGAAGCTCAGTAATACAAAACTACCAGATGATGTTGAAGAACATGTAGATAAATGGAAAGCCATAAAATTTCCTTGTTGATTCAGACGTATACAGGTTTTTCAGAATGAGCTGCGGTTCCACTGGTATTTCATCGAGTAAAACTCAAGAAGATCTCAATTCATAGGAAACATTCAAAGTACCATGTTTTCAGAGATTGGAATAGGATGTCTAGTGTGTTCCAACCAAAACCAGTGAAAAATGTAGATCTTTTTAAAACAGTAACAATTTACAACATATTTTTAAAGCCATAGTGGAACCCACCAACCGAACACCTTTATGCAGTTTCCCAGAACTGCATCCATAAGGTCTTACTCTAAGCACACAACAAAGAAGCCACCCTAAGGGAATGCCTTGGGGCCTATGGGCCTACCCAAGGGTCACCTTAGGTCCGTAAGGATTTACCAGTTTGATCAAAGCTGAACCTCCATACTCCAGAATCCTACCCATACAATATCCAGTATAAATCAGATTTAACAGTAAACCGTAATATCTGGATCATGATCCAGTAAAATCTCGTAAATGTGACAATTAAATAAATCATATAATTGTCATTCACTCGTGCACCATATGTAGTCCCATGATTAACCTAAGGGGAATGCCTTGGGGCTTGAGAGCCTACCAGTAAAGTTTCTCGGGGCCTCAGAGCCTACCCAAGGTCACCTTAGGTTTGTAAGGATTCACCAGCTTGATCAGAGTTGAACCTCCATACTCCAACCTACCCAGATAATATCCCAATAAAACAGTTCAAGTAGTAACCAATAGATTTCATGATCCATAAATCAGGAACGATCATATTTTCTAGTGAAAAAAGGAAGCTATATAACACATTTTAGGCAACCATAGTTCATAATCCAGTAGATTCCATGATCCATAAATCAGGAATGATCATATTTTACAATGAAAACAAATAACTAGAGAACATATTTCAAGTAACCATAGTTCATAAATTAGAAAAGCAGTGATTTCGGAAAATCACGTTTAAAACAAGTAAAACATTTATATGTCACATAAGGAACACAATAGAGGATCCAACTATTATTCGGAGATACTTGGTATTTATTAAGTACGGAACCATGAAACTTTTGTAATTTAAAAGGATTTTAGAATCAATATACTTATAAAAGGGGGTTTGATAGTTAACTGATTCATTATTCATTCAGGAAATGATTTATCATGATTATACATTATTCAAATATTTTTTGTAGGCAATTGAGTATCAGAAAGGCATTCAGAATCTTATGCATCAGAGTTACTTAAGATTTCAAGTATGACATTCCATTACTCAAACAAACAAGGGTAATCCAGACATTTTGGTTCTTGGAGAATTCTCGTTGATTTAACTAAATAAGGATAGAGTGGTGATTTATGGTACTCAAGATTATGTATTGAATTATCAGATTTCAATTCCGATTGAACTACAGATCCCAATATTGTAATACTTGTCAATCATTAGGACTGTGATACTTCACTATTATTCACTTCTTATTACTAACTACACCGGATGATTTGATCAATATCAGAGTCTTCCTTGATCAGTTCTTGAGCAGACGAATATGTATTTCGTTGGTACTTATTTCATTTCCATGTTGTAATAGTATCCCATAATGTCCGACGACTTGGGTCGTGCTCCATAACCTTTAGAGGCAGTACATCATTTAGGTTCATCAATGCTCCCATAGTCTATCCAACGACATTCACTTAATCCAAGTCATAAATGTATTTAGGCAATCTCAACATTCAGGGTTATTTTAGTCATTTAATATCCAGGCACATTAATTATTTCAAAACTTGAGAATAATTCCTCATTTAATTACTTTAGTGACGTGTCGTACTTTTAGTAATCTAATCTTCAAATGATCATTCAAAACAAGGAGATCGCCATATTAATAATTTCCAAATATATAAGTTTATTTTTGGGGGTTTTCAAATAGATTAGGAATTTAATCAGTGATTCCAATGTTCAAGTGGATCAATATATGAGTTATCATGTCGTATCCATTATCATAGCCATCCATTGTATTTTTTTACACTTTAAGCGTATCATCGTCATTCTACTCAATTCTGCCAGTGGCATTACTTTCGATAAATTAGGCTTCAAGTATTCTAGTTCCATTAGAATTCAGGTATTTGTTCATTTGATCATTGGAGGTTATTATAGTTATTACGAAGCTCGAGGACATTTCATTAATTCTTTTCAATCCAAACAGATACATTTTTTTTATAATTGGTCAAGTATGTCCTTTCTGGGTTATTTTTCACCATCAGGGGAAATCTTGGTCTTTTACAATACAATGACATTTTCGTAATTTTACCCCATAGGGCTATTTTTGGTAATTTGTTATCCAAATATTCCAGATATTTAACCTTTAAATATATTTATCAAAATTTACGGATCTTGAAATTAATTCATTTATTATTGAACCACTGAACTTATAATTATTTATGATCTTCCAGTTTCTCTTTTTCGAGCTGTCTGAGTATTATACAGTGTTCTATCTTTATTCCAATTTACATCTAAGTCCAATGATAGTTATATACATCTAATGGACCAATTATTTTCATTCATGCATTTACCATCTATCAATGAGTTTCGAAAAGCATACAAAAGGTAGTAGAGTATTACCTCGATTTTCATGCCATATCGATCGACCATTTAAAATTCATTCAATCACCCTCGAACTTTAATTCCACGTTCCATTCTGTCTCGGATACATAGCAACCAAATTTACGTTAGAAACTGAATTTAATTGAGAAACCAAATTGAATCCGAAGGTAAAGCATTGAAAAATGACATATCGAGCACGAATTTGGAAAATGGACTTCGAATTCAGACTTAGGACGTCGAAACACATAAAATAGGACTTTTAAAAAAAATTGACTTTTTTGGTCAAAGTCAACGGTTAGGTCAACCCGATTCGGGTTGAGTCAACCCTATTCATTTCTACTTGGACGGTTCCAAAAATTTCCTAGATCGGCTGGAGACTACCACGCACTGTCGGCGCGTGGCGACATGTGTGGCGGCGACGAGGTTAATTTCCACCGGCTGATTACTCCCTTGTCTTCTGCACACTCCATGTTACCAATATCAACCCTCAATTTCAACAACATAAGCTAAACATTTACCGAAATCTTCAATCGAACTTACACCAAATGATGGTCGACGACAGCGCATCAACAAGGAACGAATCCGGTCAGGTTTTGCTCGTACGACACCGGTGAATACACTAGAGGTGGCGGTGAGGCGAGATAACGATAGAGGCTACCAGAATTGACGAAGATATACTCGGCGATGGGGTTTTCGACGAGGCTTTTCTTGGCTATTCCACGGTGAACAGCAGCGATTCACGACGGGATAAGGGTCAGGTTTTGATCAGAGCAAGGTATCAGTTGTTTTAGGGGTAGCAGCGTCGACTATGTCTATCGGACGGTGACAAATCGGTGATGAAAGAGACTAGGGTTAGGAATTTGGGTTGTTAATTTGGGGGGAAATTTAGGGTTAATCGATCGGGGGGAGTTTATTTTTCACTGGTAATAAAAATGGTAAAATTCAAGTTTAAATCCTTGAATTTTCTACAACTTTCTAAAATGACTTTCTAGTTTTAATATTTTATAATTTAGTCCCTAAATTTCAACCAAATAAATTCTAAATTTTAACTTTTTATTTTTTATTCTAATTTTCTTTAAATTGGGCTGTGATAATTCTCCCCCTCTAAAAGAAATTTCGTCATCGAAATTTACTCAAGTCATAGAAATGTAGAAACTAATTTTCCACCCAGTATCTATTTCTCTCGATATCCTTTACAGGTACATG